TTAGCAGCGGTGGGCTTTCGGACATGCTCGCCTTTGTGAAGTGAGTCACCACAGTTCCTCCACCATTACCGTTACCATCAACAGTTACGCCTTCCTCATCAATCTCCAACATGCAAGCCACAGGAAAAACTCATTCTCCCTGTGTGCCCCCTGTATATATCACCCTTAGTGTATACGGTATTCATTCTCCCGGCCGTCTGGTTACCAATGTAGTTTAGACATGAGTCAATCGTACTGCGTCGCTACCCGCCACATTCGGTCTTACCAGAGGGGCTGTCGCAAGTAGTTGTGTCGACAGCAGACGAATTCCCCAAATTACAAGTTTGGGAAGACGGAATGAATGGGAACCACCTTACTGAGCTCAAGTAGCCTTACAGTAGCCGCTGCAAGAAGGCAGGGTTACCAGGACCCTCTACCGTGGGGATAAGGCGCCACACTAATTGCTGTTCATGACCCCCGACCCCACTGACAGCTAATTAGCGTACACTACTATAATTGTCCCCACCGCACTTCTTGATTGCTGTTCGTTACGCTTTGACAACCTGATGACTTCTGGCAGTTGATTGGCCCATGACCACTATAATTACCCACCCTTTGGTTGCTACTTCTCACCTCTGAAGATGGACTCTTGTGACAGTTCGCAAGCTCAGGACAATACACCAATTGATCCGGTGCTCGACACGTCTTCTTCCTTGTATATTCAAATACCTGGAATGCGAACCTTTTCATAGTTAACTCGATTGTCTAGAGAAATTCTCAAGGACTTATAAAAAACAAATTTAACTCACGAGATAGAGATTCAACAACGCACAAGAAAAACTAACGCAACTTATTACAAAAACTCATTAGAACCTATTTTTCATTAATAATATCCTGCAGGTAACAACTGAGCTAAAAGCTGTCACACCCCTCTAAACTTCGATGTTATTCTTTGCCATGAACTGTTTCAGTCGTTCCAGCGTCGCTGTCTTCACCTCCTTCGGAACAGTAGACCTTGCTGCCGCCGAAACACCCATGACTACGTCATCCACGGAGACATTGTCCACACCTTTGGACTTTATGAATTCCTTGCAGTGCATCTTCACCTTGTCATTCCAGCCACTTTTCTTCAACTGTTCCTCAATCATGTCCCTCAGTCGCTCTCGTTCTCCTGTGCTAATAAGCAGGTCATTGACCTTCTGTCTAATTTCTGCGTGTTTTTCGGCCATTCCTTTGTTTGGTGTTGAAGGCTGGGCAGCGGCCTTTCGAATCCTGGTTTATCGATTTGCCTATGACACAGCAACACGTGCGTGCTCCACGTGCACGCCTAAAGATTAACCAATCAAATAACGAGTTTGCTTTACGCCGAGCTCTTAGTCGGGATTGGCGATGTAGCCCACATGATCGGTAGAAAGGGGCGTGCATATTGGCTTGCCGGAACTACTCCAGAACAGGCAAACATCTACCGCGCTGACTTCATAAATCCACCCGCATTTTGTGTTGATACATCCCACCCCCTACGTGTACAGGAATAACTGTTCAGAGCTTTTTTTCGTCTGCATTCATAAATAGGCAGAAATGAAAAATTTTGAAGTTGTGAATTAGCAAAAATTCCCATCAGAGAATTCAAAAGAGTAGTTGGCAAGCCTACGTAGGTTTTCGATAAATTCCCATTTGGCGACTACATTTATATGGAGACGGGGTACAAGGTAAACAAACGGTTAATATTGTTCGTCTTATCTTACAAGCGAGTCGTGGGAATCGGGGGGAAGGGGTCGATAAGAGAAGGATGATTATGCGGGAAGGGTTTGGTGGGGCCCGTCTAGGTCGGGGGGAGGGGAGGCAGACAAAGAGAGCTGGGAAGAGTACATGCGGCTAAGTGGTCGTGGGCCGTGCCAGACGTGGAGCTTGTAGGAGGTCCTTTTGCGCACACAACGGCTTCCTTAGCCTGATAGCGGTCGCTTCTGCTGTTGCTAGCAGGCCCTGACCCGGGGACTTTGGATAGTTTGGTGGTACCTTATAAATCACCCTGAAAGGCTTCGTTGGGGTCCACACGATGTCCGGAATCAACAAGGTGGACGAGAATTGCACTGTTTATGCTCCTGATTTCACCTTTGTTTAACCATGCCGGGAGGTGCTCCTGTATTCGTTTGGACAAGCGCCAACTCGTGTGACTGATATAAATGTAAAGGTAATGGCCCAATGATAATT